CATTATTATTATATTATTATTGCAATGCTTGTGGGTGTGGCAAGCTGATGGGTTATTTCAGAGAAGCGTCACTGATAGGTCCTGCTTCTTTACTTGGGGCTGGATGGGATGCGGTTGTTGTTGCTGCTGTTGTTGTTGTTGTTCTTTTTGTTGTTGTTGTTGTTGTTGTTGTTGTTGTTGTTGTTGTTGTTGTTGTTGTCGTTGTTGGTGTTGTTCTTTTTGCTGTTGTTGTTGTTGTTTTGGTGGAAGAGGCGCGGGGGGGTATTCAGCGTCTTTCTTATGTAGGCTACATTTCTTACAACTCTGTATCCAAATTGGGTTCTAATGATTATGATAATATCTATGACTACCAAGCGTAGATATACTCACCCATGATCCATCCAGCCAACAGGTTGACAGCCGTGTTGACGTTTTCCGGCATACACCCCCCGAAGATGGGCCTGACGATGTAGAGAGCGGCCGTGTACGCCAGGAACGCCCAGAACGGCCCGGCTATGAGCACGGTGTAGCCCCACATCATGAGAAAGCCCATGAGAGGCCCGAAGGCTTTGGAGGCGTAGGCGTAGGGTCCCCCAGCCTGGGCAAACATGGTGCCCAACTCTGCGAAGCAGAGAGCCATGCCCAAGTTGATGAGACCGCCCACGAGCCACACGATCAGAGCCCCGCCCACTGACCCAGTTTGGGAGAGGATGGAGGAAGGGGAGACAAAGATAGACGAGTGACCCGTTACGGCGACCATGATGGCCGTCATGTAGAGAAGGTTGATGGACCGCTTCATCTGGATCGTCGACGTTTGCGACTGTGCGGCAGGCGGAGAGGCACCATCTCCTCCTCCACCTCCTCCTCCACCTCCTCCTCCACCTCCTCCTCCACTCCCATGTCCGTTAGGTACAGCAGAAGCGCCGCCATTTCTAAGGCCTGCAGCGTTCTGTTTGGGCAAGATGTGCCCGCTGGTGAGCGTGGAGGGTGTGACGTCAAGACTGTCGTTGGGGAAGGCGGAGCCTCCTGTGACGTTGTTCCCCTTCCGCCGGACGATTCCCTGGGACGATGACGGGTCGGAGATGATGGAGATTCTGGTGGCTGGGTCGCCGGTGGTGGGGGAGGGGTGGTTGGGGACGGTGCTGACAGAGTCCTCGTCGTTGTGGACGTAGGTTGGGTTGTCCTGTCCTTGAAGTCTGGACATGGAGACTACCACGGGGTCTCCTTTGGACCC